GTACCATTTGTCCGGGCGGTCGCTGAGGTCCCACAGGCTCGCGCCGCGCCCCCGCCCGGCCCGCCTCCTTCACGCTGGTTTGGACATGTTCGCCGCCCGCTGCGGCCACGTCCCGCGACGCATGACGGCGAACGTGCGGTGTGCGGTCGCAGGGCCTGTGCTGGACTCTGATACAGAAGACGTTCGGCACGCCCTGAATCCAGACAGGCAGAAACTGCGCCATCCCAACTTGTGAGCTCTTCGGTTGCATTGAGAACATTTCTTTATATCTGATGAAAAAAACCCTGGGGAGGCTTGTCCAAGGCGGGTTTTCTGGGGGGGGGTGTTGTCAGGATCCTTGCGGGGTTGTCCAGGCCTCCTTGTCTTGCCACCACCTGCACATTTTATTATCACACATACCATCAATTGTATTGTCCAACCAGGGAAGTCCAGCAGGAGATGTCGCCTGTCTTCCCCCTTTCCCCTCCTGTCCGTTCCTCGTCTCTCGTCCCCCTTCCGCTCCCGTTCGCACGCCCTTCTTTACCGCGTTTTCTAAAACAGCCGTACTGACTGTGGTCCCGTTGCGGTAGAAGTTAGTTCGTGCCAAGGGGCCAGCGTTCAGAGACATCCGGCAACATCAGTAGTGCGGCAAGTTCCGCCTGAGACATCATCGCATTTCTGGCTTCGGAGATGCCCTCAGGTCTGGCAATTCTGGCTCGACACATTCTCGCAGTTCTAGGCCCGGAGATTGCGGCGTCCCCGCATCTTTGCGCTCGGCGATGCAGCGCGCGAGGTGGTCCAGCCAGTTCCGCCAGAGACATCTGGGCTCGGAGATGCAGAGCGCGAGGTGGTCCTGTCAGCTTCGCCAGAGACATTCTCGCAACTCTGGATTCAGAGATGCCGCGTGACACTTTCCGGCCCGTTTCGCCTGAGACAACCTCGCAATTTTGGGCTCAAAGATGTCCTGACCTAGAGGTGGTTTGGACCGTTTCTTCTGAGACGCCGTCGCACGCTGCTGCGCGAGAGATGGTCTGACCAGTGTCGGTTGGGACGCCCTCGCATGTCTGGACTCGGAGATGCGGCGTGCGCGGCCGGTGTCGCCTGAGAGGTCTTCGCATTTCAGGGCTCCGTTTCTGGGCTCCGACCTGACCGGACCCGAGGTTGTCCGGCCAGGCAGAGGCCCCCAGGAGACTCCAAGAGGCTTCAAGAAGCGCCCAAGAAGCCCCAAGAGGTCCCCAAGAGACCCGGAAAAACACAGAAAAAGGTTCCGAAACAGCCCCCCAATGGGCCCCCCATGGCGGCCCAAGAGAGCCCCAGGGCGCGCCCAAGAGGGTCGACCAGAGAGCTGGTCCGATTTGCCACATTGTACACAGGGTCCGTGCCGCGCACAAGGTGATCCAGCCAGTTTCGCTTGCTGCGTCCCCTCTGTGTCTGGGCTCGGAGAAAGCAGCGCGGGCGGCCAGCGTCGTCCGAGCCATCCTCGCAGCTCTACGCTCCGAGATGCCCTCACATCAGTGGTTCGGCCAGTTTCGCCGGAGACGTCCTCGCAACTTCGGCCTCCGAATGCCCGCTGGCGAGGTGGTCTGACCCGTGCCGCCAGAGACGTGATTGCGATTCTGGGTTTGGGGATGCCGCGCGAGAGGTGGTCCAACCAGTTCTGTCTCAGACAGAATCGCAGCGTTTGGTTCCGAGATGCCTCGCGCGAGAGGTGGTCCAGCCTGCTCCGCCTGCGATCCTCGCAACTATGGGATCAGCGACGCCGCGCGCGATGTGGTCTGGCCGGTTTCGTTTGAGACATTTCTCGCAGCTTTGGGTTCTGAGATGCCTCGGGCAAGGTGGTCCAGCCAGTTTCACCAGGGGGGCTGCCAGGGCTGTCAGGAGGCATACCAGGGAGCTCATTACAAGCGTGCCCGCTCGCTTGCGGCGCACGTTGCCTTGCCCACGTTGCGCCCCAATTCGGATTGTGCCAGTCCTGGGTTGTGCATGAAGGAGCGGCTGCCAGCGCGCGGGCAGGCTCTACTCCTCTCGGTGAATTACGCCCCGCTTGGGGTAGCGCGGCAGATGTTGTATGTCTCGCAGCGCGGCGTCGCGCGCAACTCCCGCAGGCCCTGATTGACTGGCGCCCTGCCAGGCGCCCGCGGCTGCGCGCTGCGCCTGGTGCCCGCTCATCAAAAAACAATTCGTATTGGTCGAGAGGGCCCTTCGCGTCTACTACGCTTGCCGAGTACTTTAGACGCGTAACCTGTAGGATCGGTATGGCAGTATTTTTCGGGGGATCTTTCGCCTGAGCCCCCTGCCCCAGGCCAAGGTTACGTAGACGCTGTCTCGAAGAACTCGACAGCGAGGGGGGGGTGAGCCACCACGGGAGAAATCAACGTTCTTATCCAGGACATCGATTGTTTCAGCATACATTCCCATCACAGATTGATGTGCGTACGCGTTGGTTTTTACCCCTCGGATTCTCACTGGGATCTCACGCGCCCCGAAGCGACATAAATCCCGCCCTGCTAGTTGCGCCCTGGGATGCCCTGCTGGAGGCGATAGGGACATAGACTCGGTCGAACGCTGCTCGCGTTGCCCTCTGCTTGCGGGTCCATTCAAATTCTGGTTTGGGTTTCCGTCTTCGTTGGCTCCCTATGTTTCCCCTGGGCTGGCACTGGCCCCACCATCGCCCTGCTTTCAAACTCGCCGCTATCGTCGAATATTTCCTGTGCTGCCTGTGCCCTGTGCTGACGCGGTCATGTCCCTGCGCAGCGGTCGTCGACTGGGCGCCCCAGGCACACCCGGCTCTCGTCCAAAAGCTAGGACTAGATAGCGCGCATACGTGGCTGCCTTGCGATAGTATTGCGAAGGCCTTACGGCCGGTGCCGCTGACCCTGAATGGCGACGACGACGACGACGACGAGCGCTCTTGGGGGCCTCTTGGGGGTAGTTTGTGGGCCTCTTGGGAAGCTCTGAGGGGCCGCTTGGAAGCCTCGTGGGGGCCTCTTGGGGCTTCCTGGGGGTCTCTTGGAGGGGACGTGGCTGCCTTGCGATCGTATTCCTTGCCCTCGCCCTCCCCATCTGGCGCAAGATGCCGCGCCGTCAGCACTGGGAGGAAGCACGGGGTTTCCTCGGGCAGCGCCCCCGCCCGCGGTCGCTCAGGGGGCCGCTGGGTCCGCGGTCCTTTGGTGGGCTCAGTGCCCACGGGTTGCGAAGGGCCGAGGTTTGCCCATCTTGGCAAGCTCGGGCATGCTGTCCTCCTCCTCATCCTCCTCCTCATCCTCCTCGTCCTCCTCTTCCTCCTCCTCCTCCTCCACTCCTCCGTGTCGCACACACAGACGTGTCATTAGGGCGGGCCGGGCCTTTCGCTTGAGGCTTCCTCACCATTCACGATCCTGGAGCGAAGGCTTTGCGCTTGGGCGAGGCGGTTGTGTTTGCACCTGCGGGCGACTCGCCATGTGCAAAAAAGCGGGCGAATGGCGTCTGGTTGCGGGTGTGCGGTGCTCTTCTGCGGCGGGTGTTCGTTCGAGGCCTGGGTCGAGCCCAGTGCGTGCTGCTCGCGCGGGGCACGGAATGAGTCTGCTCGCGCCGCGGCGCGCACGCCTCGAACAACAACAGCACACCGCGCCCGGCGACGCGTGGCGCCCGCGGGGGGGGGGGGGGGTCAAGGCGATGCGCGGGGGGGCACCACATGGCGCCCGTCAGGAGCCTGTTTTTTTTTGGATTCAGGCAAGGTTACTTGCATGGCGTTCGCCCCCCCCCCCCCCCCCCCCCTCGCCCCTCTTCAAGCGAAACTAGCGTGCAAGTGCCTTTCGACTTGCGTGATTTCCGCGCCCCCCCCCCCCCCCCCCCCGAACGTGCAAGTCGTTTGCGGCTTGCTTCAGGTTCAGCCCCCCCCCCGTCCATGCAAGTAAACTTGCCAGAGTCCAAAAAAACAGGCTCCAGATCGTCCCTCGTGGGAGGACCGCGGGGCGCAAGGGGGCGCCGCGCGGCGTCGCGCGGCCCCGTTTGGGGGTTCCCGCACGGGAGAACGCGAGGGGCGAGGACCTGCACGCGGCGCCGCACGGCGCACGCGGCGACCGCCCTGGTCTGTCTGTGCTCGAATGCAATGCGCGAGAGGTATCGCGCGGGGCCGTTTTGAAATTCCTGCTCGAATGCAATGCGCGAGAGGTATCGCGCGGGGCCGTTCTGAAGTTCCTGCTTCGCGGGGCGCGATGCGGGATGGGCGCCACGCTGCGCTCGGGGACCGAAGGCGAAGTCGTAGGTCCAAGAGGTTCGAGCAAGGGCATATCCTGGGGTCCTTGGTGAGCATGTTGTCATCATGATGTTGACAGTTCTGCATTCGCCACGCGCGCGAAGTGCGTGCGTGCGTGCGCACGGCGGTGGTTTTTCAATGTGGTGGACATGCGACGGCCGCAAGCTAAGTGTGATATCGAACGGGCGAGCGCTAGCTGTTCATTTGGATTGTCAAGCCAACAGTGATTTTGGCCCGGCAATGTTAAACATGTAGCTTTCACGCATCGCCTGCTCCCTCCCGGGGATGGGAGCATCCTCGCTAGCTTCCCGATTCGCTTTTGGCCGTGGCGACGATACGGCAAGAACTCCCAAACGTGGTCGTCGCCGTCGCCGTCGCCGCCGCCGCCGTCAATTGCCGCCGCCGTCGTCGGTCGTCTATACGGCGGGGACCGCCCGCCGTCCTCGCGCCAGGCGCAGGCCCGAGGAGGAGACGCGGATCTTGGCCAGCGTGTCGAGGCAGGCGTCGTCGGTCGCCGTCGACGCCGCCGCCGCCTCGGGGGGGGGAGGCGCAAGCCGGCAGGATCAATGAGACATTGGTTCTCTCTGCGTGGGATGGGCGACTGCGTGGCCAGCCCACTCACTTGTTTGTGTTTCAGTGCGGAGCCGTCGTGGTGTGCCTCCTTCTTTGCTTCCAGAGCTGCCGATCCCTTTTCCCATTCTCCTCCCGCTCATCTGCCCTCCCGTGCTCCCTCTGCCCGCGGCCAGGGCCGATCGCAAGTGTAAGCGGCAGTTGCGGACCAATGCGCTCAAGACTGGTCTCCAGACCAAGAGTTGGGTTTACCCCGGCCAGTTTTTGGGAAACTCGCCCAGCCGGGGCAGCGAGTTGGGCCCCTATCAGCCCCCCTTCCCGTCTCATGGTATCTCTCGTCCTTCCCTCTTGCTCCTTTCTGTCATAATCCTTATTGTTGGTTTCCTCCTTCCCTTTGCATTCCGTTCCCATCCCAGCACTCGTCGGGGTTCAGCGCGCGCTGTGTGTTTAGTCGGCCTAGAACGCTTTGTTGCATTTTGTGGCCGTTGGCGCATCCCTCCATCGTTCCTACGTTGTGTGCCTGGGATGCCTTTTCGGGGTCACTTGGAGCCGTTTGGGCGCTTCGCGAGGGCCTCTTGGGGACTTTTGGGGCGTTTTGGGTGCCTCTGCATGGAGGCCTCTTGTGAGCCTCTTTGCGCTCTCGAGGGCCATGCTGGCATTCGATGGTACCCAGGGCAAGTCAGTGTCCCTCGATAGCGCCCAAGAGTGCCCAGAACTCTGGGGTCTGGACCCCTTGAGAGCACTTGCAATACTCAATGCTGCGAGTTCGAATGGGCCTGGGGACCAGTGCCTCACGGCACGGTGACGGATTATGCGAGGCTGACGAAGCATTGTTTTCCCCCGAAGGTCAACAATTAAGAAAACAAGAAGGAGGAGGAGGAGGAGGAGGAAGACTGATACTTCCAATGAACAAGTAACCAGCTGCCTCTGGCAATTCCGCCACCGTGCCAGCGTAGCATTCCGGGTAGCAATTATTCGAGGAGGCAAGGGGGCATGCGCCTCGAATTCTTCGGGGCCCACTTGGGCCCCACTGGAAGTTCATTGGGCGTCCATTGTGGCCCTATTGGGGGTCTTGTTCCCGCTCTTGGGGCCGTCTTGGGGCCCTGTTGGGCAGTCCTGGGCCGTCCTGGAGCTCTCCTGGGCCGTCCTGGAGCTCTCTCGGGGGCCCCTTGGAGCCGCCCCGGGGGGGGAGTTCTGGGGGGCTTCCTGGGCCGTCCTGGATCGTCGGAGGCTCGAGAGGGCGAAAACGCTCCCCCAAAGAGCCTTGGCAAGCTTGGGGTCGTCAATGGCGTCTTGCCTTTTGGGCCCCTCTGGAGGCCCTCGTCTGGCCCTCCTGGGGGCCTCTTGCCTCTTTTGACCCTCTTGGGGCCTCCTGAGCCCTCTTGGGGCGGACGGCTCGAGCTGTCGGTTCGTGCTCACGCGCTTGGGCCCTTCCGGAGGCCTTCTGTCTTGGAGGCATCTGGGCCTCGGGAGCGCGAAGCAGTGGTATGTTGTAAATGACCGCGGCCTCGGGCAGTGGGGGTGCGCCTCCCGAAGGGCGGGGGGCTCGGAAGAAAGCCACAGAAACCCTGGCAGAGAGCACTTTGCATTCTAGCACGCCCCAGCGTGCAGGGGGGCACGGTGGCGGAAGACTTGACGGGCGAAGAGCGGCATATCATAATTGTTGTTCGCTTTCGGGGGCGCCTGCCCCCTGGGCGGCTGCAAAGATTATACCCCTACGGTGGCGGACTTGCTTATTGTGTGCCGCTCGTCGCGTGCGCCCAATAGAGAATTTCCTCGCGTGGCACGATCGGGGGCGTGCACCTCGCTGGCGGATGGCGGCGCGGGCAGCGCGCTCAGACTCGAAGAGTCGCGCGATGGACGTCGTCTCCTGGCCCAGAGTCGCAGGCCTAGAGGTTGACACCAACACCAATATCGGCGGTGTGCCTCCACCGAGGGAAGAAGGTCTCGATCTCGGTGATGGTGTTCATACTCTGACTTCCAAGGTGGCTGAAATATTACACAGACACCAGAATCCAGGATCATCTTTTCCCCTGTGGAGGCACTCCCGATGTTTGTGTTGGTGCCCATTTCCAGGCCTCCGACAGAGGTAACTCCTTGTATCCACTGGGGAGGTCAGGAGGGGGACGGCTCGCCGTCGCTCCCTGATTCGTCGCGCTCGAGGTGTGAAAGAACGCGTCTCGCTTGACACGTCCTTACGACACTGCGATGCTGGAGGTTCTCGTCGGCGACGACTGTTGTTGACAATGGGCGTCTCGCCTGAGACATCCCCAGACACTGGGGACGAAGACATCGCTGGCGTAATGCTCTGAGCTTCGAGGATGGAGCTTTCGCTCGAGACATCCTCGAACCAATGAGGTGTCGGAAGCCATCGGTTATGACCTCGTTTCTTAAAAGTGATTGTTTCGCCTGAGACATGATCACAGCATGTGGATGTTGACATCGGTTACGTATTCGTCGGATCTTCGACATAGAGTCGTTCGTCTGAGACATCTTCGAACAAACGATATGTCAGACAAGGTGCTTGTCGATGTCCTCTTGTATTGTTCTCTCAGCACTCGATGTCCTCTTGTATTGTTCTTCTCTTGTGCTTGTCAGACAAGCGTTTTGCTCTAGACATCCTTAACACATTTTCTTACGGATCTTCAACAACGGAATGGTACGTTGAAGGTGTTTATTATGATGGCGATGTTGATGACGACGTTGATGGTGACGATGATGATTATAGTGATTATAGAGATGATGATGATGATGATGATGATGATGATGATGATGATGATGATGATGATGATGGTGATGGTGATGGTGATGGTGATGGTGATGGTGATGGTGATGGTGGTGATGTTGATGATGATGATGATGGTGAGGCTGATGACTATGATGCTGATGATGATGGTGGTGGTGATGGTGGTGATGGTGATGGGGATGGGGACGTGATGGTGATGGTGACCATGGAGACGATACAGATGATGGCTAAAGTCATTGGGATCTGCAAGAGCCTTGAGGTGGACGGGAGAGTGAGGAGGATAATCAGTGACAGGCGTGTGAATATTCGGGGAGCGCGTGTCCATATCTATCCCCCATGGACGTCCAGATAGCTTGCCAACATTATGTTCGATCGTAATTATACCGCCGGCTCTTGCACAGCTTGTCGCTTTCGCGCGCTTCCCGTTCATGTCAAGAAAAGGTTCTGAACGTAAGCGTTTCGCCTGACACCTCCGCACCAAATTGCGATGTCGCAGGTTCTCGTTGACGACGCCTCTTGTTAACCATTAGCGTTTCAGACAACGGGGATGTTAAAACCGATTGCGTAATGCTCGGATCTTTGAACCTGGGACGTTCGCCTGAGACATCCTCGGACACACGGGATGTCGGAGGCTATCGTTTACGGTCTCGTTTCTTAAGCATGAGCGCTTCGCCCGAGATATCTCCACGCAACGGGGATGGAGTCGCTGGCGTAATCGCTGGAACTGCGGCATTTATGCTTTCGCCATAGACATTCTCTTAATATTGGGGTGTCAGAGGAGGTCTTGTCGACGTCTTATTCCCTTTTTCTTAGGGGACCCCGAAGAGAGCAGAAAAGGGAACATGATTGAAATCACATGTTTGTTCAGAATCGTTGTTCAAGCGTGAGCGTTTCACTTGAGGCATCCTCAAAACGCGCTTTTGGACATGTCTTCGGAAACGTCATGTTGTGATGAAGATGCTTATTAGGATGATGCTGACGATGCTGGCGACGACGATGATTATGATGCTGATGATGATGGGTGTGGTGGTGGTGGGCGAGATGGTGGTGGTGATGATGATGATGCTGATGATGGTGGTGGGGTTGGTAATGGTGATGGTGATGGTGATGGTGACGATGGTGACGATACATGCTATGTTTCCAGTGACGGGGAGACGTAGGAAACTTGAGGTTGACGGAGGAGTCAGGAGGATAATCAGGAACAGGCTTACACATGTTCGGGCAGCGCGTGCCCAGAGATTTGCTGTGTAGACGTTCTGGGTGGAGTTCGCCTACATTGAATTTGATCATGATATTGTTGCTCGCTCTTGCACAGCCCTTCGCTTTCGTAAGTTTCCAGTTCGTGTCACAAAGGTTTCTCAAGCATGGCAGTTTCGCTAGGGGCATCCTCCCAAAAATGACTTCGGATGGGGGTTCCCAATCATCATCGTCTTGGAGCCGCTCCTAGAGGGGCCCACTTGCCCAAAAGAGCCCCACAAAGCCTTCCGAAGTACCCAAAGAAGACCCCAAGAGGCCCCAGAGCGCCCCAGGAGGTCCCCAGGCGGCTCAAGAGAGCCCCAAGACAGCCTAAGATGGCTCCAAGATGTCCTAAGAGAGCCTCCAGAGTTCCCCAAAACACGCCCAGGCAGCCCAAGAAGAGCCCAGAAGCCCTCAAGAGGACCTCGAAATACCCCCAAGAGGCCCTAAAACAGCGCTTCGCAACCCCATGAGCAAGAACGGCGCTTCCCGTTCTTGTCAAGTCAGGTTTCGATCCGCGAGCCTAGAGGTCTCGAACCTTCCCAGTGACCAGCTTTGAGTCCTGGATCCGCTTTTCATGGCACCCCGGACCCAGAAACGGCCCCCAGATATTGAAGACACCGAAAACGTAGCACTCCGATTTGTATTGCGACGCTGGAGGGCTGGGGGGGTGAAGGAGGAAGAGGAGGAGAGGGATGAGGTGGAGGGAGAGGAAGATGACGAGGAGAAGGAGGATGCGGATGAGAATTAGGATTACGATGACGATGACGATGAGAAGGAGCACAAGGATGAGGATGAGGATAGAGCTGCTCATGCTGGTGCTGATGATGATGACGATGATGATGATGCTGGTGATGATGATGATGAAGATGAAGATGATGATGATGATGATGATGATGATGATGATGATGATGATGATGATGATGATGATGATGATGATGATGGGGGTGGTGGTGGTGGTGGTGATGCTGCTGCTGGTGGTGTTGGTGATGATGATAATGACTATGATGATGCTGCTGATGATGCAGATGCTCATGCTCATGCGGATGCTCATGCTGATGCTGCTGCTGATGATGATGGTTATGATTATGATTATGATGGTGATGATGGTGCTGATGCTGACGACGATGATGATGCTGATGATGATATTGACGACACACACGCTGATGATGACGATGACGATGATGAGGCTGATGATGCTAATCATACTGATGCGGATGTTGATGATCATGATGCTGATGATGCTGATGATGATGATGATAGTTATGATGATGATAATGATGATGCTGAACAGTATGCTGATGATGCTAAATACGATGACGACGATGGTGATCGGGACGGTGTTGCCGATGGTGATTGTGTGTGAGGGGGCGATACGTGATGGTGAGTTTGGCGTGGCGCCTCATCTGATGTTGATGATGATGCTGGTGATGATGATGACGATGATGATTATAAGGACGATGCTGCTGATGATAATTTTGACGATGATGATGCTGATGATGATGACATGCTGCTGCAGATGAGTATGACAACGACCACAAGGGTGTTGATGAAGATAAAGAGGCAGATGATGATGGTGGTGATCATGACGACGATTGTTAGTGTGATGATGTTGCTCGTGATAATTTGTGATGGATACCCCTCCATCAATAATGATGATGTTGTCGTTGTTTGTGATGGTGATGATAATGTTGATGATGATGATGAGCATGCTTATTTTGATGATTGTGATGTCGATGGTGATGGTGGCGAAGATAACGATGGTGGTGGTGATGCTAATGGTAATGGTGGTGATGAAGAGGAGGTGGAGGAGGAATCTGAGGAGAACGGCAGATATCCGAAGCAGAGCAGAAGCTAAGTTAGTGCGCTCGCTGCACACGTGACATCTTACCCGTCCCAAGTGCCTCGAACCATCTTCGATCCGCCGTCCTGAAGGACCGTGATTCCTACACCATGTTGCCTGAATGGCATCTGCAGGATTTGACCCATCGTTTGGTGCGCAACTGGAAAAGGGGGCTCCGTGGAAGGACTAGGAGCAGGGAGCGGACTAGTAGGAGAGGGGAGGAGGATCAGGAAGGAGGAGGAGGAGGAGGTTTATTTGGACGAGGCAGAGGAGAGCAGCAGGAGCACGAGCATCAGTGGACGGCGGATGAAAAGGAAAGGAGAGGCCTACAACGACGAGGCACGAACCGGACCCAAAAGCGTGGCCCGCGCCAGGGCCAGAGCGCCCCTCTTGCTGCACAGCGGAAGCAAAACACCGACTCTGGCATGTTTTCCGACGCTGCAACGGGAACTCCATCTTCGAATGACCGAGAACGCTTTAGTCGCAAACGATTTTTCCAGTGGGCGCAAGAGTACGAAAGCGGTCAGGCGCTGGTCGGGCTACGGGCGGGACACGCCGATATGTCATTGAGGCGCAGCAAGGAAAAGGAAGACAAAGTGAGGCGACTGGCGGGAGCCGCTCAGAACATGCAGTCCGTCGCGGGTGTGCCGAGGATGCAAGGCTCCAAGGCGCGGCTGCGATAGAGGCAGCGGTGGCCGAAGCCTGAGACCGTGAAGAGGTAGGCCTTGAGCATGTCGGTCGCAAACACAGAGGAATTACCAAGTTGAGACATCATGTATGTGAAAAGCGATACGCGAAAGAGGCGGGAACACACGCGCGCACTGTCAGGAGAGAAAGGAGAGTAGTATTCGTATTGAGCCACTGTGGAGGAGGGTGAATGAATGAGGAGGATGAGGAAGAGGAAGGGGGAGGAGATCGCCTACACGTCCGAGCGTGCCGAGACAGTCGCGAGGAAGGGTCAGAGTAAGCAGACGAGAGACGCACGCTCAACTTGACGAGCGTAGCAGCTCACGGGCGAACGAAAGCGACATCGAGCGTAGGCAAGGCACAGAAGAAGCCAGAGGCAGGCATCTTCCTGAGCAAGGAGCGGCCCTGGGTCTCCCAGCCGCCTCCTTTACGAGGGGGTCCTTACCGCTTTACCAACCTGAAGGGGCTCAAGACGGGTGGCATCCTTGCCCTCCTCCTCCTCCTCCTCCTCCTCCTCCTCATCGCCCTGGCAATGACCCCACCATCGAGAGAACTGCCGGCGGAGGCCCGGTGCACGGGAGCCACCCCGCCAGCAGGACGCACGGGCACACCAGCCGCGAACACCCGCTGCCCCCGAGCGCGCTGGCCGGCCCCACGGGGCCCCGAGCAGGCCTGGGGACGATCGGGCCGGCCGGCCCTCTTCGCCACTCGCGCAGCCCCCCGCCTGGGCCCGCCAGGGGGGGGCCCTCTCCTCCTCGAGGGGCGGCCCCCCCCCCCACGGGTGTTGGGGGGCCTGGGCAGGCAGAGGGCTCGAGAGCGGGGGCGCCCTGGTCTAGGCCTCCCAGATGGGGCCGGAGTAGATGGGGTCGAAGGAGCGCGCCGCATCGCCAATGCATCGCCGATGCGGCTCGATGTAGAGCCCGATTTGCTTCACGTCGACGTCGCCGATTCATCGCTGACGTCGACGATGCATCGCTGGTGCATCGCCGATGCATCGCCGATGCATCGCCGATGCATCGTCGATGTATCGTCGATGCGGCGCCATCCTCCGACCCCATCTACTCGGACCCCATCTAGGAGGCCTCTACCTGGGAGGGGGGCCCACCAGGGCCGCCTCCCCGCCCCCATCCCGAAGGACCCCCCCCCCCGGGCATCCCTGCTTCGCAGGCGGCCCGCGCGGGAGGACGGCGCACTCGAGGGGGGGGGACGGAGGTCGGGCGAGGGAGTCTCGGGACGAACAGGCAGGGCAGCTTTGGGCAGCGGCTCGCGCACACACACACACACACATTCACACACATTCACACACACACACAAACACACAAACACACAAACACACAAACACACAAACACACAAACACACACACACATTCACACATTCACACACACACACAAACACACACACAAACAAACAAACACAAACAAACACAAACAAACACAAACAAACACAAACACACACACAAACACACACACAAACACACACAAACACACACAAACACACACAAACACACACAAACACACACAAACACACACAGACAGACAGACAGACAGACAGACAGACAGACAGACAGACAGACAGACAGACAGACAGACAGACAGACATACAAACAAACAAACAAACACACACACACCAAGTCCGAGGAAGGAGGGAAGGGGGAGGGAGGAAGGGAAGGGGGGAGGGAGGAGGAGGAGGAGGAGGATGAGGAGGGAGAGCCCCTTGAACGCCATGCTGTCTCCCCGAGACGAGCAGGGGCGCCCCCGGCTGCCGCGGGCGAGGTTGATCGCTGCGGGCATGATGCCTCTCCAGGATAACGTGCGTGCCGTCCGTGACGTGCTCCCACGTCTTCCCTTGGACACGGGCGTCGAATGAGTTTATGGTGATCCGACCTGACGAGTGGAGGGGATTGGTCAGCCAGCTGCGTTTCGCCGAATCGGTTTGCGACAAGCATCCGCCTGCAAGTGCGGGTCTAGAGAATGTAGGCAATTCCATTCGCCATGAGTGTCATGGGCGTGCCTTTCGCACGTCCCAAGCGTACCTCAACCACATAATGTCCAAGCACGGCGCGCGCAATCCGATGCGGTTGTTCGCACGTGCCGGTGCGACGTGCTCTTCATTTCACACGAAATGGTCCACACGACCCTGGTTGATCGCAGACCTGACGAAAGCCAGCGAAGGACCGACCCGGTGCAGGGACTGGTGTCTTGCCAAAAGCAACCCCAATACGCAGGAAGAACTTGACACGTTGGATGCATTTGATTCCCGAAAGGCAGTTCGCGCACAAGAGTGGGCTGAAACACCCAAGAAACAAAGCGTCAGCCGTCATACCTGATTGTTGGACATTAGGACGGGTATGTGTGTGATTGTAAGTTGTTCACTTGGTTATTTTAAAAAGGCCTGGGCCTTTGTCGCTGTTTTTAATGTTGGGCTCTTGCCAAGCTAAAAACGCTGAAATAACGCGACGGTGTGGTAGCGAGTTCTGGAGCATCATTTTTGTTTAGCGTTTTCTGCTTTCTGCTCGAGGGTTGCTCCGTGGCTTCCCTGCTGTCTTTGCTCCCGCTTTTTCTTTTCAGCCGACGTTCTCCTTCTCAGAGCTAAGGACGAGAGAAGGACAACAAGCACACAACGCTCCAAAAACACCGGCCCGAAACAGGCCCGGAAGCCCGACGGCCCCAGGAGGGGCAAACGGCCGTCGCGCCCGCCAGACTGCACGCCAGGAAAAGGAGTGCACGCCAGGAGAAGGAATCGAGGACGTCGTCGACAGCAATATTCAACACTACAACCAATTCATTTGATTAAGCCAATAACATGCGACTGATAACGCGAGAACATGAATCGTGTTCTAGCGCGTTTAGTTCTTGCTCGGACTGGTAAACCTGAAACAAGTTATTTCCAACAGTCCGAGTTAAAAACGGTACGCACATCGCCTTATTAAATTGATTAGCGTCGCTTGCAGCATGCCGCCGGCAAAAAACAGAGGGGAAGGGGGCAGGATAGAGGACGGTGGAGATTGGAAGAGGATGGAGGGAGGAGGGGGCAGCCCCCCTCTTGCCGGCCGAGGCCCCCTTTGCGCGGGGTTTGCCTCCCCGCAGCCTGATGGCAACGAAAGAGTACGGTTCCAAAGGGAGAGCACCGACCCCCAAGTCGTCCAGTGATCGGCCGACAGGGGCCTGGGCCCTTCCCTCCCAGGAGCGACGGGATACGCTATCGGGGGTTTGTCGCCGATCTGTCGGAGACGTATCGCCGATTCCAGCTAGATGTTCCTCTCCCCTTTATCGTTTCCCTTCGCTAGCCGCCAGCCGCCCCAAGCAGGATCGAGGCCCTCGGCCTCGAAGGGAGCCTCGCGGAGGCCAACACCTTCTGGTTCGCAGCGTACGTGAAGCGGCGCCCCGCCGATCCTCTTCCTCCTCCTCGTCCTTTTCCTCGTCCTCTCTTCCTCCATATGATTGTTTTCCGCAGAGAGGCCTGGACAGGGATTGAGATATTGAACACTTTGAGATATTGAGAGCGTCTGGTGTTTATGAACACGGACTGTAGGATAGAAATATTGAAATATGTATGGTTTCGGCGGTGTACCTGCGCCAATGAGAATATTGAAATACTGAATCATGCTTCGGCCTGAGGGTCCAATAATGACAGATTTTGAAGGATTCTAAAAGATGTTTAATGCGTAGGGCCAGAGTTGAATAGCGAAGTACCCTCACATCTTTCAATACGGGGATTCCAGATTGAAATATCAACAGTTCGAAAGGTCTTCCATGGGTTGATGTGTTAATTCCCCCAGTGCTGCAATGACCCTTCAATATTTCAGTCCAGGCCTTCCTGATTACTCCAAGCGTTCAATATTCCAATCTTCTGAACTAGTGCTTGCACTTGTGGCTTCTTATTTCTGTTCTCATGAACTGGGCCTGTCTGGTGGTCTAGGGGCCATGTTGTCGCGGTCGCCGCCTCGGCGCCGCCCGTAATTGGGCCTATTTGTCGGTCTGGCGGTTATGTTGTCGCCGTCGCCACCCCATCGCCGCCTCGTCCCCACCCGTCTTCTGGGCCAGAATGTCGGTCTGGCCGCTATGTTGTCGCCGTCGCCGCCCCGTCGCCGCCTCGTCGCCGCCAGTCGTCTGGGCCAGATTGTCGGTTTAGCGGCTTTGTTGTCGCCGTCGCCGCCCTGTCTCCGCCTCGTCGTGGCCTCGCATAGTTGCACTACGTGGATTGCACCACACGGATTTGCTGCACAACATAGGTTGCACAACATCGGTCGCAACATTTACTTTCAAAACTGTATAGATATATGTATATGTATATGTATATATATGTATATATATATGTATATATATGTATGTATGTATGTATGTATGTATGTATGTATGTATATATGTATGTATGTATGTATGTATGTATGTATGTATGTATGTATGTATGTATGTATGTATGTATGTATGTATGTATGTATGTATGTATGTATGTATGTATGTATGTATGTATGTATGTATGTATGTGTATATATATATATATATATATCCCTGTGGGCGAGGCCGGGGGCCCCAGGACAGGTGCCTCGACCCCCCATGGGGGGACGGGGGGGGGCTGGAGCCTCCCTGGAGCAGCCCAGGCGGCCCAAGAATGCCCCAAGTGCGCTCCACGACAGGCCCAGCAGGCTCCAAGAGGCCCAAGAGGGCGCCAAGAGGGCCCCAAGATGCCCAAGATAAGCCCAAGACGGCCAAAGAGGCCCCCAAGACGCTCCAAGAGGCCTCCAAGAGGCCCCCACAGAGGGCCCCAAGAGGCCAACATCGTTCATTTTACGAAGGTTTTGGATACATTTTGCCTTTCCCGCCTTTTCAGCTTTCCGACGCTCCACGACGGCTCAAAGCCCCTCCGCGGACGCCCCAAGACAGCCTAAGAGGCCTCCAAGAGGGCCTCAAGACGGCTCTGGAGGGCCCCAAGACGGCCCAAGACGCGCCCAAGAGGAGGACCACGACTCCAAAATTCGACCCTCCCGCTTGAAGAGTGCCCCAAGGAGCCCCCAAGAGGCCCCAGGAGGCCCCCAAGAGGCACCCAGGAGGCCCAAACGAAGCCTAAAGAGGCCACAAAATAGCCCCGAGGAGGCCCCACAACGGTCCCAAAACGGCTACCGAGAAGCTGCGAAACTGCCTTCACGACGTCCCCGACACCCATGAGGCCTCTGACCCACCACCCAGGGCACTGTGGCGGGAGCAGTGACTGTACTTGTGCACAGCATGTTCCGGCGGGAGCCTTCCGGAACATGCTGCAGGAGGAGGAAGATCAGGAGGAGAGAGAGAGCTGGAGTGGGAGGAGGAGGAGGAGGGGGACGAGGAGGAGGAAGAGGCCTCCAAGACAGCTCCAAGATAGCCGAAGAGGCTTCCAAGAGGGCCCTGGGCGGCCCACAAGGGCCCCAAGGCGGTGCCTGAGGCGCCCAAGAAGGCCCGAGAGGGCCCCAAGACGGCCCCAAGAGAGGCCCAAGAAGGGAAACACGAACTGAGAATCCGAGCTTTCTACCCCGCCGAGAGGTTCTCGGGAAGTCCCAAGAGGCCCCCAATCGGATCCAAGAGGCCCCCGAGAAGCTCCCAAGAGTACCGACGAGGTTCCAAGAGATCTCCCAGGTGGCCCCAAGAGGCACAACTTATCTTTTTACGATTGGGCTTTGACGGGTTTTATTTTTTTCTGCCTTTTGGCATCCCGATGCTCCAAGACGGCCCAAGAGGCTTCCAATACCGCTCCAACATAGAGGAAGAGGCCTCCAAGAGGGCCCCAAGACGGCCCGCGAGGGCCCCAAGACGGTGCTTGAGGCGCCCGAGACGGCCCGAGAGGGCCCCAAGAGCCCCAAGAGAGGCCCAAGAAGGGGAACGCGACCCAACAGCAGAGCGTTCCCCCCAAAAGGCCCACAGGAGGCCGCAAGAGGACCCCAAACGCTTCCCGAGGGCCCAAAAGGCTTCTAGGAGACGTCCAAGAGGTTTTAAAATAGCCCAAGAGTGCCCTCGATGCGTCAAAACTGCTTCCAGGAGGCCCCCAGGAGGCTTCCGGATTGCCTCAATCTGGCCGCAGGTGACCTCAAGTCGGGCCTCCACGCAGCCGAGACGGCCAATGACGGCTTCAGATTGTAGAACCGATGCCCCCAAGGGACCCTCAGACGCCCCCCCAAGAGGCACCCAAGAGGTGCCTCCAACAGCCAGTTGACGAAGCATGCGGAACACCCCAGAAGCTTCTCAGATGCCGTCGCGCGCCTGTGCTTGATAGCGTTGTCCAAGATCGTCCAGCGCCCCCCAGACCTGGGCTAGAACCTGAGCGCGCGCGATGGTTCTAGTATATATGTATGTCTGTATGTATATATAGATACACACATATATATATATATATATATGTATATATATATGTGTGTATGGTTGCCCCCTCCCCCAGCACCCCCCAAGCAGCCCCCAAACCACCAAAACTCGATGGCAGGAGGTCCCAACGATTCCCTTCACACACTTCACGAAACCTTGGCAACTAAAGTTGTTTGTTTTTTGGTCAGGTATACAACGAAACCTTGGGCAGGCACAGTTTTGTTTGTTTGTTTGGTTGGGTTTTCATGTGGTTCTAACGATTTCCTTGGCCAAGGCGTGCAAGCTTGAAAAGGCAACAAAACTGTGCCTACCATGGTTTCGTGGCCACACACTTCACGAATCCTTGGCAGGCATAGTTGTTTTGTTTTTTGGTCAGGGATACAACGAAACCATGGCAGGTACAATTTTCGGGGGGTTTTCAGGAGGTTCCAACGATTCCCGTGGCCAAGGCCTGAAAGCTAAAACAACCAAACAAACATGTGCCTGTCATGGTTTAGTGGCCACACACCTCACCAAACCTTGGCAGGCACAGGTCTTGTTGGTTGTTTTAGCTTTCAGCCCTTGGCCAAGGAAATCGTTGGAACCGATTGAAAACCAAAAAAACAAAAGGACCTGTGCCTGCCAAGGTTTCGCTGTACCCCTGACCCAAACATGTTTTCAAACAAAAAACCTGTGACTGCCATGGTTTCGTGGCCACACACTCCACGAAACCTTGGCAGGCACAGGTTTTTTTTTGGGGGGTAGCTTTCAGACCTTGGCCAAGGAAATCGTTGGAACCTCCTGACAATAAAAAAGCACAAACAACCTGTGCCTGCCAAGGTTTCGTTATACCCCTGACCCCAAAAACAACAAATATGTGCCTGCCATAGTTTCGTAGTCCATGCTCCCATGCGGCCATGTCCTCATCCTCCCTCTCTTCCCCTCCTTCCCCTCCTCCTCCTTCTCCTCATCCTCCTCCAACCCCTCCTCCTCCAACTCTTCCTCCTGAGCCGAACATCCTCCACCGCAGCGTTGAGCTCAAACCGACAGGATGCGAATGCACTGGGCGGCAGCAGTGGAGCGCGGACGACGGAAGACTAGACGATTGATCTCGCCCAGATGCCGCTGAGCCAAGTCCTCTGTCCATCACCGACCGTGCCAATCATAAACAATATGCCTGTCCGCGCACACTTCGCATGGGCATTCACCAGCTAACCGCCCAACATATCGCAACGCGGACTGCATCTACGCGTGGAAAATGAATAAGATTCGATCGGACGCGGCCGGATCAAGCCGACTGGTTCGAAGGCTGCCCGCCCGCGCCCTCGCCCATCTCCGCGGCGCTGGCGTCGATCAGCGTCGTCAACTCGGCCTCGGTGTCCAAGTCTGAATCGTCAACGTCGGTGGTCTCCACATGCGCCTGAGCAGCCGTCGAAGCGAAAATCTGCTGCTGCTCCTGGTGGTCGATTGGCGAGAGCTGCTCATTGCAGGTCAAGGTGGTCTTCCTGGTCTTCCTCGGCGGAGTGACCAGGTCCTCGTGCGCGCCGCTATGGAGCTTGGCGAGACTGCGGAAGATCGCCACCTGCTCCTGGTGGTCCTCGTCAGAGAACTTGCCGTGGCAGCCGACGATAAGGGGACTGCGCGTCGGGCGCTGCGTCCCCGGGCGCCGCCGCGCCACTCGGAGCGACCGCGTCGCCGCTCGATCCCGAGGCATCGCCCGCCTGCCACGGCACCGCGATGCCCATGGTCGCCTCGGCACTGATGAGCTCGCTCACGCGAGCGTCCCGCGCCTCTGTCAGCTCCCTGGGGGGCGTCGGCTCGGGCGCGTCTAAGCCACCGCCGAAGCCGAGCACGTCCTCCTCGGCAGCGTCGTCGGCCCCAGCGTCAGCGGCGCAGTCGCGAGCGAACGTCTCTTTGTCAACGGGCGGTGCTTCAACGCCGCCTGGAGAGCGCGCCGTCGCGCTGCCATCTGCGGTGGCACTATCGGCGCTATCCCCGCCGCCGACGCCCGCGCCCGCCGCAGCGCGCGACCCAGCCATGAGCTGGAGCATCTCATTTTCTCTCGAAGGCGAGGATCCTGTCGTACTCCTTCTGGTCGCGGCGCTTCTTGTGCTTGAGGAACCGCATCAAGACTTCCCCAGCCTCAGGTTTAATGTAGCTGCTCTTGAGGGGCAACCTCTCGACGACGGAGTCCTTGCCGGCGGGCCTGAAGAAGAATGATTCCTTGGTGTTCAGCCCGGCGCTGCACCGCTTGAGCATGGCCCCCGCGTTGCTCTCAGACATGCCCTTTGGGAAGGCAGGCCGAACCATGTCCACCAAGAGGGCCGTGGTCAGCTTTGCTGCATCGGAAGACGTCGACGCAAACACCCAGTCTTCGCGGCTCGGCTCAGCGCTGGCATTGCACTCGTTGTCCCCGCCGAGCCTGGGCGAAGACGGAACGGGTGGGGCCAGCCAGCCCTGCAATCGTTATCCCCGTTGACCGATACACCCGAAAACCCTCCCACAATATCCAAGATAATTGGCTGGCCTTTCGACGCGACGGCTGCGTCGACGGCGACGTGATACTTCGCCGCTGTGGACTGCGCCACGCACTGCGAGACCGCCATGGGCCATGAGCGCGCACACAGGCAGCGATCCCTGGCCAGGCACCTGCGCGTGGCCCGCAGGGGTAAAACCTGGGAGGGAGTTGAGCGCACAGCTAACCTGCGAGGCGACGTTCTGCGCGAGCTCCAAGGCGTCTCCGACTGCGGCGGCGGCGCCCATGGAGGACTGGTCGGCGGCGCCGGCCTCGCGCGCACCAGAGGCGCTTGCGCCTGCCTCGGCGGACCCGCCATGGCGGATCACACCGCCGAGCTCAGCAGCCACCTCTTTGGCGCGCAGCGCCCTGGTCTCTGGCCCAAGGACCGTCTGCCCCCGTGCCTGCGGAAACTCAGGGGCGGAAGCCGCGCGCTTGACGTTCGGCGCTGTCCTTGCGGCTCGCTGAGTCTCCGCGCGCACCAGCGGAGCTTCGCCCCCCTCGTCGTCGTCACCGAGCTGGGGCCGACGCGAGGCAGAGCGGGAGCGCCCCTCGGGGTCAGCGGCCCCGCTTGTCAGGTCCGCCCGCCATGTCGCGACCAATTCGGGGCTCGTAATCCGCGCCAGCCATTCCTCCAGCAAGGTTGACCACCGCAACCACTGGAAATGCATGTGTTAATTTTGGTTACATTTGTTGCATCAGAATACTTTTGTTTGCGATGGCGGTGGTTAACTTCGGATCATGCTTCTGCCGAGGGCGTGCTCGGAGTTTCCGCAGGACGGCGCCCCTGCTGCCGCCAGTGGACGAAGCATTCAAGTCCGCGTCGATGCACAATGTGCAGAAGCCTTTCTCTTTCAGCAGGCTGGGTTTGCCGCTGGGCTTCCCCCAGCCGCACCTCTCACTATCGCGAGGCACGACCATGATGACAGGTGCAACCAACGCGTTCGGCTTGGAGCCAAAAGTGGCGACTGACAGGTTGGCAGGTGGAATGGGGATATGTACAACAATCACCTGCCTTGGCTGGCACTAGGAGGAGGAGGAGGAGGAGGAGGAGGAGGAGGAGGAGGAGGAGGAGGAGGAGGAGGAGGAAAAGGAGGAAGAGGAGGAGGAGGAGGAGGAGGAGGTGCAGGAGGAGGTGCAGGAGGAGGAACAGGACGAGGAGCAGGAAGAACACGAGGAGCAGGACGAGCAGGAAGAGCAGGAGGAGGAGACAGGATGATGTAGGAGGAGGCGGGAGGAGCAGGAGGGAGGAGGAGGAGGAGGAGGAGGAGGAGGAGGAGGAAGAGGAGGAGGAGGAGGAGGAGGAGGAGGAGGGGAGGAGGAGGAGGGGGGGTCCGTTGCAATTTGTGCTCAAGCCCTTGGACAGGAATCTGGCGGCGGCTCTCACCAGACGGTGGGTTGATTTCGGTATTGTGTTTTTCGCGATGGCGGTGGCCCGGGCTGCCGTCATCCTTTGAATGCGCATCTCAATGTACTTCCCCTTGGGAGGGGCGCAGGATGAAGACCATGACGGGGAGCAGGAGGAAGAGGATCATGAGAGGGAGCAGGCGGATGAAGATGAGCAGGAAGAGGAAGAGAAGGATGATGAGGAGGAACCCCCCCCACAGTCCCCCCAAACCACCCAAACCCCATCTTCCTCCTCTTCCTCCTCCTCAATTTCCTCCTCCTCCTTCTTCTCCTCCTCTTCCCTCCTCCTCCTGCTCCTCCTCCTCCTGCTCCTTCTCCTCTTTCTCCTGCTCCTCCTGTTCCTGCTCCTCCTCCTCGTTGGGGGGTGCGGGGGGGGGCGAGTATATGTATGTATACATGAGGCGGTCCTTGGGCAACTTCCTGTTCAGATCTTCCTCGCTCCCCTCCAGTTTCGCCTCGTCTTCATCCCAGTCAGCATCTTTCTCAGAGTCCTCATCACCCTTTTCGTCCTTATCCTCATCATCGTTGTCCTCATCTGTCTTTATCGTACTAAGTTCCCACCGCACACACGCACACGCACCCGCGTCTACCCGGTCGGCCGACACCACCAATTTTCTACGGAAATGTGGTTTTAGCACGAGGTGTGCGCACAATACTAACACCACTCGTCCCCTCCCCTCCCCTCCCCCTACTATTTGTGTGGTCAGTGCCCTAGGCTCCAGCACTTAATTCTTAACTATCGAACGAGGGCGCTCGAGCAGCACATGGCGAAGACAGGGATGCGGTTTGGAACATGTTGTGTTGTATTTCGAGCGCTCCAGCAACCCACGGCACGCGCTCCAGCACATTCTTCTTAGGCGAGCGCAAGCCTTCGAGCAAGTCACGCAGCCAATTCTGGTGTTTTCCATCATCTTACCTCCAAGTGTGAGAATTACACTGTATACTCATTCCGCTCCATGGTGCCAGAGATCCCACCCAGTTGGACATGTCACTAGGTACCTAAGAACTTCCCGGTTGTAGCTGGGAAGTGTTGCAGGGACGGTAGACTCGGACAGGTATGTGAACCGGAACTCCATCGTGCGGTTCATCGTCCTGGATCTCCGCTGTTGCCAGGAGGCGCATCTCTCTCTCTCTCTCTCTTTCTCTCGCTTCTCTCTCTCTCTCTCTTTTTCTGCCTGTCTGTCTCTCTTCGCTCCCTCTCTCTCGCTCTGTCTCTCTCCCTCTCTCTCCCTCACTCTCCCAATTGTGAAGGCCCAGCGGCCGGTGCGGCCAGCCCAACAAGCGGGACCTCCCGTGGGATCCCCGCAGGCGCCCCCCCCGCAGGGGGTGGTCCCCCAGTCCCCTCGTCCACACGGGGGGAGAGGAGGTCTTGAGCCCCCCCTGTCCGCGGGTGGGGGCCACCCCCCCTTTCCCCTCCTCCTCCTCCTCCTCCTCCTCCTCCTCCTCCTCCTCCTCCTCCTCCTCCTTTTCCTGGGAGTCGACAATTAATTGTGTCTGTGTGTTTCTTTCCCTCCTGACTTTCCCCTGTGCCACACAGGTGGGGGGGGCCGCGCTGCCCCCCCCTGCCCACAGGGGGGACCGGGGAGGGGAGGGGGGGGGCACTGTGCGTTCCCCATGGTCCACATGGGGGCGGACCAGGGGAGGGGCGGTAATCCGACCCGGGCGCCCCCCCAAGAGGTTCCTCCCTCCACGGGAGCACTGCCCCCCACTGCCCCCCCCCCCGTCCACAGTGGGGAGTTCCCCCCGTCCACCTTTGTCCCCCCCTGTCCACAGTGGGAGCAGGAGGGGGGAGGAGGAGGCTTGTTGCCCCCTGTCCACAGGGGGGAACCCAGACCCCCCCCCCTCCCATCCTGCACACCCTCCCATCCCCCCCCCGCCCCCGTCAGCGAAGGGAAAAAGGGAAGGGGATCGACTTAAGTATTACGACCGTCCTTTGCCTTGTTCGCTTTTCCAGTTCCTTGGGACTAGCGACGACAACGACGACGAAGACGACGACATCGTCTCACACACACACACACACCGAAGGGTCGGCGATTATTGGGCGCTGCTTCACCCAAAAAGTGCTCTCGCTCCAGGGGCCCACGGCAAGTCGAGCCCTCACAGCCAGAGCTGGCGCGTGCGATTGCGCGGCTGCACTCGGCGCGGGCGGGGGATATTCATACTCAAGCACCATCATCCGGATATCTTTCGAGCTATGTGGTAGAGGTCTTGGCACGAATGATGAAGCAGATACAAGAGTGAGGAGCCTGTACCTGGGGGGGCGACCACCAAAAACGTGGTCGGGAACATGCTTTGGTCGAGCAACAACGGCGAACATCTTTTCCGAATATACCGAAGTTCCTGCCTGATGGCAGCGGTAGCGCGGGCGAGGAAGGCCGCTCAAGTTCCAGCGGTCCATTCGGTGGTGGAAGTCAGAGGCCCCACCGTTGTGGATTGAGCTTGCCGTCGAGGGAACGCTGCTCCTGAGCTGGGCCTCTGATGGGGGCCCAAAGAATATACACCACCACCACGTCGATTCCTCCTCTCTCCTCTGTCCAGCGAGAGGGAGGGGGGGGAGGGAGGTGGTGGTGGTGCATATTTTCTGGCCCCCCATCTGAGGGCCTCTCGCGTGCCCGCCCTGCGCTCCGGCCAGCTCGCTCGAGGCTCGCAGCGGAGCCTCCGACGGGGGTGCTGCCAGGCGCGGTCCCGGCCCCAGGGCTCCGGGGGCCCGCGGAATGGGCGAGAGCGCCAGGCGTGATCAGAAGGGCGGCGCCCAGATCTCCGTGGCTACCGCCGCCAAGCTCGAGCACCCCCGGGGTGCTCGAGCTGGCGCCCTCGGAGCAGCACGGGGTGCCCCGGCCTGCGAGCTCGAGCAGGGTGCGAGCACCCCGTGCTGCTCGAGCTCGCAGCTCGCCGCAGTGTCGTGTCGCGTCGACCTGCGGCGACCCCGCTGCCGCCGTTCGCCGTAGAGCGCCGCTGGCGACCCAGTACCGGTCGATGTTGAGCGAACTGACGTTTCGGAAACGGCCCATCGTTTGATGTTGGACGATCTTTTCGGTGTGAAGGACCGACGCCCGGGTCGGCACGACACGAACCTGCCGCAGATCAGAGGCGACGATAAGGGCGAATAGCCCAGGGGAGAGCAGTACATGTATCCAGGGGCGCCGATGACCTATGTGTTCGATACGGCTCCCAGGGGAATACGTGTAATGCCCTCCCCTGGGCTATTCGCCCCGATCGTCGCCGCCGAGTAGAGCACCCCGCGGTGGTCGAGCCCACCCCTTGACCCCCTTAGCAGCGGCGCCTCCGCGAGAGGTCAGCTGCTCCGCCTGTGCCCTGCTCGCCAAGCTCGACAGCCACCTGCGCGTCCCTCCGCCTGCGCGGCCCTTAGGCCCTCGCCGCCGCCGCCGGCCGCCGCCGCTCAAGGAGGGTCGGGGAGCAAGGTCGGCTGTGCACCGCCCTCCGGCCTGCCTTGGGCCTGTCGAGTGCCTCCGGGGACGTCCATGGACTCCTGGAGGCCGCCAGGATGATCGTCGCTCGGCGCTCGTTGTCGTCGGTTGCGGTCGGTCGTCGTCGTCGCCGCCGCCGCCGCTGCCGTCGCCGCCGTCGTCCTCCTCGTTCGGGGGGGCGGAGGAGGGAGGGGCGGGGAAAGGGGGGGGAGGAGGGAGGAAGGCGGCCCCGCACGATGGTGGTGCAGTGAAGACGTGCTCTCTTTGCCTTTTCAATGGCGCTGGGTCCGCAAGGAGAAGTGGCAACGGAAGCAGGAGTAAGAGAAGTAGAGATAAGGAAAGAGTTGTGGGCATGGAGGAGCATACTAATAATATGAGGACATTCATAAGAAGGAGGAGGATTTTGAGGAGAAGGAGGAGTGAGGCAAGCAGGATGATGCTAGGAAAAGAGACAAGCGACGACGCATTGTTTGTGTTACGTTGTGTGCAAGAGGAGGGAGGACAGATGATGATAGGAGCATGGAGGACGGGGAGGGCGATGCTGATGAAGAGTACGGTAGGCTCTTGCCGTGTCGACGCGGCAGCGACCCCTGCGCGGGCGTTCATGCTGGAACGCCGGTAGTGGCCCAGCATCGGCCAATATCGAGCGATCCTGCGCGATCGAAAAGCCACCGATCGTTCAAGGTTGAGCGCTCCACGCGGTGTCAGGAACCGACGCCAGGGTCGTCACGACACGAGCTGGCCGTACGGAGGGACGAGGGTGGCGATGTGGATGAGGAGCAGGTGGGGGAATCGGCGCCACCCCAACATTCTTATACTATATGTGCGTCGCCCCCCCGGGGGCGATGCGCGCACCGAGACATCTTGTAGTACATGCGTCGTGGCGGGCGCATTCTGGCCACACCGCTCAGGAAACGATATACTACAATATGGGTATACTATGTGCTTGGGTCGGACGCGCGCCTCCGAGGAGAACATGGAGTACTAGTACAGTAGGGGTCTTGAAGAAGGAACCCCTTTCGTTGGGGAGGGGCTCCGCGTTCCTTCAGTGTTTCGCAGCTTGCCTCAGGTTTTCCCTATGTCTTCGACGGGGAATCGGAGCTTAACCTGTGGGAAAAAAGGGGCCTCGTTCCTCATTTATCGTTCCTTAGGTCAATTTGCTCACTTGCGAAACTGAGGCAGAACCGTGCCACATAGGCAATTGTTGTGCTCGTGTGTTTTGCACTCAGCCTTGTCTCTCCTCTCTAGGTCAAGGCCCCGACTGTATGCCTCTGTTCGGGGGAGCGTAAGACCCGGGTTTGCCGGGACTCGGGTTCGCCATCGTTTTTTGACGACCGCGACTCGGATTTTGACGAGGAGGAGTTTCGTGGGATGTCTGCAGCGGGAGGCCTCGTCAAAATGCAGGCTCGGCCTCGTCATTTTTTTGACGACCTCGTCGGGGATTTCCGAGTCCCCCGTACCCGGGTCTTACGTCTCCCCGATCTGTGCATCGCAGGGCAGAGCACCCGCGAAGGCGAGCGCGTGGGAACCTCCCCGTTCGGCCCCCCCCGCGGCGGGCGGAGGACAGGGGCGTGACGGTGCTGTACGCGAACCTGGAGCCGGTCGCCGCCCCGCGGCGGCCATGCCCGCCGGGGGGCCTCTCCGGAGGGGGGGCCCCAGGCATGGGCGGACGAGCGGCCCCTTCCTCCTCCCCCTCCTCCTCCTCCTCCTCCCCCTCCTCCTCCTCCTCCTCCTCCTCCTCCTCCTCCTCCTCCTCCTCCTCTTTCTCCTCCTCCTCCTCCTCCCTCGGCCCCTCGGCCCTGGCGAGCGTCCTTTCATAACTCGGAGGTGGACAGGACCCCCAACAGTGAATTGTCCGTTTTCGGTTCTCGAGAGGGTGCCGTGGCCGTTATTCTCCAGGCTTGCGCCCGCCAGGTTTGGGCCTCAGGCCGGGGCTCCCAAACGGGGTGGTGACCACACCGTGTGGTGAGTCGGTGGGGATTCGGGGTCACCGCCGGGTCTGTCACCACATGGTTTTGGGACACCCAAGGTCCCTCGGCCCTGGCGAGCGTCCTTTCAGAGCGGCGTGCGTGAACTGAGAGAGGTCTTCAGACCCCCCCCCCCCCGAAGTGCGAAAACGACGCGAAGATCGGGACGAGATCGGATCGGGACGACTCGAAATCTCTGAGAAGCGGCGGGTTTGGAGGATGCATTGGGCGCCGCGGCCGCTCCAGAGCGTTCCGGAACGCTCTGGAGCGATGTATCCCGATCCTAGCCTTGTTTTTAGCTCCAGGCATTGGCGGACGAGCGGTCCCTCGGCCCCGGCGGGCGTCCTTTCAGAGCGGCGTGCGTGAAGGGGCTCCCAAACGGGGTGGTGACCACATCGTGTGGTGAGTCGGTGGGGATTCGGGGTCGCCGCACGGTTTTGGGACTTGGGTCGTTCTCCGAGGATGTCTCGGGCGACTGGAGCCTCCAGGGTCCCAAAACCGTGTGGTGACGGACCGTGCGGTGAGATCTTTGCGGATTTCGAGGTCACCGCCGGGTCTGTCACCACACGGTTTTGGGACACCCAAGGTCCTTCGGCCCTGGCGAGCGTCCTTTCATAACGGCGTGCGTGCACTGAGAGAGGTCTTCAGGCCCCCCACCCTCCGAAGTGTGGGAGCTGGTTGTCGTCTCGACACCCGTATTGACGGACTGGGGTTCCACCAGTAGTGGAGCAGATGTATTTCTCCGCGGCTCCCGCCGCGCAACAACGACGACGACGACGACGACGTCTACGAGGAAGTGGAAGAGGAAGAGGAAGAGGAAAAGGAGGAGGAGCAGATGGAGCAGATGGAGCAGGAGGAGGAGGAGGAGGAGGAGGAGGGGCGGAGTTTATCCAGCTGCCTACGGCAAGGAGGAGGAGAAGCATGAGGAGGAGGGGCAGGGTTTATCGAAGACGCCTATGGCGAATTACCGCCGCCCCCTGCCTTTTGGAAGCGCCTATGTGGCCGAACGTTGAGGCCAGACCTGCCAAGCTATCGGACCATGTGTTCCCCGACTCGGTTTGGAAAGCCTTCGGGGAACACGTGGGCATCCTGAAGGTCATCTTGGCCGTCTGGAGGCCATTTTGACTCTTGCGGGCTTTCTTGGAGGACGTCTTGGAGGGCTCTTGGGCCGTCTTGGAGGCCATCTTGAGCGTCTTCGAGACCTCTTGGGCCGTCTTGGGGGCCCCTTGAGGCCGTGTCTTGGGCCTCTTGGGCGATCCTTGGGGGCATTTGGGCCGCCTCGGGCCGTCGGAAGGCAGACAAAAAAACAAATGCCACAATCCTTCAAAAACCCATGGGAAATTCATGATTTTTGCCGTTTCGGGCCTTCCTGGAGGCCCACTTGGAGGCCTCTTGGGCCGTCTTGGGCCATCTTAGGGCCATGTTCTGCCGTCTGACGCCGTTGGGAGCCGTCGGAAGCTGTCTGACGCCGTCGGAAGCCGTTTGGGGGGCCTCAATGGGCGGACTTGGGGCCCTCTTGGAATGCTCCAGGGCCGTCTTGGAGGCAAGTTTGAGCGTCTTAAAGGCCTCCTGTGCCGTCTTGGGGGCCTCTTGGGGCCGTCTTGGGCCCTCTTGGGCCGTTCTGGGGCAATTTTGGAGGCCTCTTGGGCGATATTTCGGCGATCTTGGGGGGCTCTTGTGCCGTCTCGGGCCGTCGGACGACCAAAAAGAAGCAAATGCCGAAATCCGTCAAAAGCCTTAGGAACATCAATGTGTTTTGCCTCTTCTGGCCTTCCTGGAGGCCCTCTTGGGGGCCTCTTGGGCCATCTTGGGCCAGCTTCGAGCCAACTTCAGCCATCTTGGTGGGTTCCTGGCACGTCTGACGCCGTCGGGAACCGTCTTGGGGGCCTTTTCTGGGCCGACTTGGGGCCCTCTTGGGGCGCTTCGGGGCCGTCTTGGAGGCCATCTTTTGCGTCTTGGAGGCCATCTTGGGCGTGTTTGGGGCCTCTTGACTCTAAAGCGAGCTGGGTGTTGCATGTGAGTGGGAACGAGCGTGCATCCGCGGCTGCTTGGCTCAAAGCGGCCGGCCGCCCAGATCCGACTACATTTCAGCGCGAGGTGTACCATTTGCCATCGATACCAAAACTGCTTGAGATGGCTCGCCCCCTACTACTGGGACTATCGCTACTACGGTACAACAGAGCGGGAGCTGGGCTTCGCCTGGCGAAGCTGCTGGTTGGGCCTCCCAACCCCTTTCAAAATTAGTAGCGGAGCTGGCCGATGGTGGTCAGCTCTAGCTCTACTCCTTACCATCCACGGCATTATCTGGTGGACTACTGACGTGATGGAACATCAGGGAACAGTGGGTTTGCGCGGAGTAATGTATTTAACTGTGCAACATAGCAAGGACACTTGCAGTGACACCTCTGCCTACGCAGTGACACATCCCTGCGCTACTACACTCCTGAAGTCCACCCATTGCGCTCCGGTCCACCTTCCTTGCGGTCCCGCCTTCTTGCTGCCCTTTTGTAAATAGTAGCTGCTGTACCTGGCGTATAGAGGCGGCGGGTTCACGCTTCGTCTCCCTCCCCCCCCGACTCTAAAGTGAGCTGGGTGTTGCATGTGAGTGGGAACGAGCGTGCATCCGCGGCTGCTTGGCTCAAAGCGGCCGGCCGCCCAGATCCGACTAAACCTCAGCGCGAGATGTACTATTTGCCATCGATACCAAAACTGCTTGAGATGGCTCGCCCTCTACTACTGGGACTATCGCTACTGCGGTACAACAGGGCGGGAGCTGGGCTTTGCCTAAGGCGAAGCTGCTGGTCGGGCCTCCCAGCCCCTTTCAAACCCGGCGCGCGCAACATGGCGCGGCCCAGAAGCGGGGGGTCCTTTAGAAGATTATAGGAACCTTACCAGGCAGCATTTGGCATTCTACCACGCCTCAACGTGCCGGGGGGGCACGTCGGCGGATGACGGGAAGCGCCTTCGCGGAACGAGAAGGTGATGGGAGTTACATACGCCGTGCTAACTACTTACTAAGAAAGAACAGAGACGCAAGGGACAACGGGCTCGCGGTGCTAAATGGGTTTTCGCTTAGCGGATGACGGGTAGCGCGTTTTCGGAACAAGAAGGTGATGAGAGCTTGTTAGAGGAAGGGTTCTGCATACTTAGTAGAGAACAGAGGCGCGAGGGACAACGGGCTCGCGATTGCAAATGAGTTTTCTTTTTGCGAATTACAGGAAACGCCTTCTCGGAACGAGAAGAAGATGGAAGTTTGGTAAAAGGGAAGCTGAATAAGGAAAATATGAAGAACAGACTCGCGAGGGACGACTGGCTCGCGGTCGTAAATTGCTGATCGTTTGGCGGATTCCCGCACAACGGCCGTTTCGCTCGAGGCAGCCTTGAAACATGGAGAATTTGGAATCGTATGTTTAAGGCGCCTTTCGTTAAACATGAGGCTCTCGCTCGAAAGGGCGAGAAGGTAATGGGAGTTTGCAGAGTAAGTTGAATACCGGAATACCTGAAGAACAAGCTCGCGAGGGACAGCTGGCTCGGGGTCCGAATTATCGACCGCTTGGTGGATGACGGGAAATGCCTTTTTTTTTCCGGAGCGAGAAGGTGATGGGAATTTAAGCTGAGCAAGGCGTACATGAACGACAAACTCGCAAGGGACAACTGGCTCGCCATCGTAAAGTGCAGATCGCCTGGCGGATGACGGGAAGCGCCCTGTCGGAACGGGAAGGTGGTGGGAGTTTATCAGGCCGTGCTTAATATTTCCTAATCTAGGATATAAGCGCAAGGGACAACGGGCCCCCGGCTGCAAGTGGGCGTTCGTTTGGCAGATGACGGGAAGCGCTTTCTCGGAACGGGAGGGTGATGGGAGTTTTTTAGAGGAAGCGTTCTACAAAATCACGGGAAGCGCCTTCTCGGAAGGAAAAGGTAATCGGAGTTTGTTAGAGGAAACGTTCTACACAATCGATACCGAACAGAGACGCGAGGGACAACGGGCAAGCGGCTGAGAAAGAGCGTTCGCTTTGCGGATGACGGGGGCGAGCCAGTGCACAGCACAGTGGGCTATCACCGCGCCTGCCGAGCCAAACTCGCCAGAAGGCGGGTGTGGTCTGAGGTCGACCTTCATGAAGTCCTGGACGTTGCGGCATACTCCAGCTATGTGGTGTCCTCAGACGGCGACACTGTTTACTCGCCTGAAGCTCGGACCTGGGATAGCCCCGAATACATCATCAGTCCTTTCCCACGGATGGAGTCCACTCGGATTGCTTCATGGGACGGTATCACAGTTTCACAACGATGGCAGCTGGGACAACTGGTGGGTATACGTATGCAGTATTCCTCCGTGGTTTGAATGGAGGAGAAAACCCGTTTGTCCGCTGTCGCCGCCGAGGTGGACGACATGGCTGAGAGCATCTTGCTGCAGGTCCTCGCGGCACCCCACGCGGCGTCCTCCGCCAGCGGGAAGGCTTAGAAGAACTCGTTCCAGGCGTCGCGCTGCTGGATCGGACCGACTGACCGCCACCGTGTGCTGATCGAATCCATCCCACAACCCCGTGGGGCGTCGAAGTGGCAGGAGCTTGCGGGACTTGTGATCGACGACGACCATGCCCCTCGCTCCACACCGTGAGTTCAAGAAAGTGAAG